TAGATCAGGCAGAATAAAGAATCTCAGAGCTTGAAGAAAACACTTTTGAGTTAAGTCAGTCAAAGAGAAGAACCTGGCCGGGCGTGGCTGGGCTCACGCCTGTAATCCTAGCATCTCCTGTGTTGAGCCGAGGCGGGCCCCCGGATTGCTCAGGCGGTTCAAGGAGTTCAGGCCAGCCTGAGCAAAAGCTGGGACCCCCATCGTCTACGAAAAATAGAAAGAAATTAATTGGACAACTATAAACTAGTTAATAGAAAAAATTGGCCGAGGCATGGTGCGCACGTTCCTTGTCCCCAGCCTACTGCAGCAAGCTGACGGCAAGCGAGGATGGCTTGAGCCCAGGAGTTTGAGGTTGCTGTGAGCTTAGGCTGATGCCACAGCACTGTAGCCCAGGCAACAGAGTGAAACTCTGCTCTCCAAAAAAAAAAAAAAAAAAAAGAGAGGAGTAGCCGGGAAGGGAGAGAGAGAAAAGACTAAGTAGGCCATAGTAGAAAATGAGAAATGTGAGGAGAAGGAAGAGGAGGAGTAGGAGGAAACCGAAAAGACTAATAGTAGAAACATGGAAAAAAATGCTCAACATATCTAATCATCAGAGAGAAATGCAAATCAATAACCACAATTAGGGCCCGGGCGCCGTGCGCTCGATGCCTGTAATCCCTAGCTCGTTTGTGGAACCAGGCGTTTGGATTGCTCGAATCAGGAGTTCGAAAACCAGCTGAGCAAATAAAGACCCCGTCTCTACATATAAACAGAAAGAAATTAATTGGCCAAACTATAGTTATATTTAGAAAAACTTAGCCTCAGTGGCGCATGCGTAGTCCCAGCTACTTGAGCGAGGCAGGAGGATTGCTGTTTGAGCCCGAGTTGAGGTGGCTGTGAGCTAGGGCCGACACCAACCACGCACCTCAGGCCGGGAAAAACAAGAGACTTTCTGTCTAAGAAAAAAAAAAAACAAAAAAACAAAAAGGCCCGGGCTCAGTGGCTCCACGCCTTGTAATCCTAGCACTCTGGGAGGGCTGAAGGCCGGCGCGGATTGCCTCAAGGTCAGGGGTTCAAACCAGCCTGAGCAAGAACCCCGTGTCTTACTATAAAATTAGAAAAGAAATTAATTGGCCAACTACTGAACTCATAGTATATATATATATTATGAAATTATGCGGCATGGTGGCTCGTGCCTGTATCCCAGCACACTCGGGGGGCTGAGGCAGGAGATGCTTGCAGCCCAGGAGTTTTGAGGTTGCTGTGAGCTAGGCTCGAACCCACCAGGGCACCACTCTAGCTAGGCAAGAAAAGCGGAGACTCTGTCTCAAAAAAAACAAAAAAAAAAGAAAAAGAATGGGAAAAACAAACATCACAAGTACTCACTATTAAATTGGAACCAAGATGATCCACACTAATGTGCACATATTGGTAGTTAAAATTTCAAGGAAACAGAGGCAGTTGGAGGTGGGGGACAAGGGGATGTAAATTCACACCTAAGGGGTCTCACTCTTGCTCAGGCTGGCCTCGAACTCCTGACCCTGAGCAATCCGCCCGCCTCGGCCTCCCAGAATGCTAGGATTACAGGCGTGAGCCACCACGCCCGGCCAGGTTCTTCTCTTTGACTGACTTAACTCAAAAGTGTTTTCTTCAAGCTCTGAGATTCTTTATTCTGCCTGATCTAGAATATTCTTAAAGTTTTCCACTGTGTTTTGTATTTCTTTGAATGAATTTTTCATTTTTAGAAGTTGTTTGATTTTTTTAATAATTTGCTTTACTTAAATTTTCCATTCATTTCCTGCATTATTTGTATGGTTTGTGTTGAGTTTCTATTTTCTCTTGTTTTTCATTGAGCTTCCTTATGATCCACATTCAGAATTCTTCATCTGTCGTTTAAATCTTTTCATTTTGGTTGGTATCCATTGGTAAGGAGTTTTTGTTTTCTTTTGGGGATGTCCTTTCACTCTGATTTTTCGTTTCTAGAGTTCTTTCACTGATTCCTTCTCATCTGGCCTCTCAGTCAAGACCTAGGGGAGCTGACCTGATTTATGGGCCTGTCTCCAGGTGCCTGAAGATCAATCCCTGAATGTGCCAGGGAGAGGAGTGCTGGTTATGAGTTGCCTATGGAGTATTCTAGCAGGTCTCAGGTTACCTCTGACCTGCTGTCTTCACCTCTTCTCAACAATGTGTAGTGAGTTAAGTCCCCAAGTTTATTCTGGTGATGGTAGGTGGTACTTGTGTGAATCAGCCCCACCCTGTTTGCTTGAGTTGGAAGACGCTATGATGGGTTATGTCATTCTTCCTGATGTTCATTGAAATTTCTGTGATAGAACCAGCTGCCGAGATATTCTTTTGTGTCCATGGTAGACTCTGGTTTCCCAGGTGGAGTACTCCAAGTTGTAATTCTTTTATGTTATAATACCATGTGAGGTGCTTCGGTCAGTCCATCTGTTAGCAGCTTCTTTGGCTACTTTATTTGCTTGACGTATTTCTTCTACAACTTGCGGGTCACATTCTTTGTATTTTTCTACTTCTGCCTTTAGCTGTTCCCTTTGGTCTCGAAATGAAGAAAGTTCTTTTGCTAGCCTAGTTCGCTCTTCCATCTCTTGTCGACCAATTTTAGCTTTTTCAATGCTTTTCTGTAGGTTTTCATGCTTTTGGCTTCCCTTAGACAACTGAGATTCCAGAACCTCCAACTTACATTTCCTTGCATGAAGAGCTTTACTTGGAAAAGCCCAATAATAATTAGAAGTTCCAATCCTCTCACAGTCAACCATACCATCATCAACTAAACTTTGAAGGACTTCTTTTACTGACATAGTTGTAATGCCTTTCTCTTTGGGAGCAATCTTCTCCATGTCTTTTAATTAAAATACATCTTTCATGGCGCTGGGGTTTCCGGTGGCGGGGCCAGCACTTGAGACGAAGGGTAGGAAAAGTTTTTATGACATATAAAACAATGGCCGGGCGCGGTGGCTCACGCCTGTAATCCTAGCACTCTGGGAGGCTGAGGCGGGCGGATTGCTCGAGGTCAGGAGTTAACAAGACTCTGTAGCTAAATAAATAAATAAATAAATGAATATGTATATATGTCACATAATACATACTTTTTTTTTTTTTTGAGACAGTCTCGCTTTGTTGCCCAGGCTACAGTGAGTGCCATGGCGTTAGCCTAGCTCACAGCAACCTCAAACTCCTGGGCTCAAGCAATCCTCCTGCCCCAGCCTCCCGTAGTAGCTGGGACTACAGGCATGTGCCACCATGCCTGGCTAATTTTTTCTATATATATTAGTTGGCCAATTAATTTCTTTCTATTTTAAGTAGAAACGGGGTCTCACTCTTGCTCAGGCTGATCTTGACGACTAATTTTTTCTATATATATTAGTTGGCCAATTAATTTCTTTCTATTTTATAGTAGAGATGGGGTCTCGCTCTTGCTCAGGCTGGTTTCAAACTCCTGACCTCGAGCAATCCGCCCACTCTGTCTCAAATTTTTTCTATATATATTAGTTGGCCAATTAATTTCTTTCTATTTTATAGTAGAGATGGGGTCTCGCTCTTGCGGAAAATTGGCAGTGTATGTAAAAGTCTATGAAATTTTACTTAAAAGAATGAATTCGAGGCAAATGATCAGTGTGTAATGGTATATATATAAAACACTCTGATTTTATTTATATTTCTGAAGTTCAAAAACAAGCAAAAATTATATTAATATTAAGAATACATAGATAAGTAGTTACAAATACCAAGCAAATCTAGGAAGAAATTAACCTCTATGCAGCAGAGAGGGGTATCTAGCTGGGACGATTCCATAAAGAACTACACAGGTACTAGTATTATAATATTCTCTTTTTTAAGCTAGAGAGTGGATCTGGAGGTGTTAATTTTCTTAAAAATTTATACTTTGTGTATATATTCTTTTGTATATGTGCCATATCGTATACACACTTTTTAAAAATGTTTAAGGTGTTAAGGACAGCATGGTCATTATGTTTCAATTCAAAACTGGAAATTTATAAGTGAAAATCAATCCTGAACTGTCTTGTAGTATTCAGTGATACTTCTCTTTATTACTATATTCCAGACATCTATGTAATTACAGGATCAATTTTTTAGTCTAAAAATTCTTAAGTTCTTAATTCTTAATCTTAATCTTAAATTCTTAATTCTTAATCTATAACTGTATACTGCTTATAAAATTCCACTTCAGGATTTTGAAGCAATGAGCTGTACAGTTCCCTTTTTTATTTTTTTTATTTTTTATTTTTTTTTTGAGACAGGGTCTTACTTTGTCCAGGCTGGAAAGCAGTGGTGCAATTATAGTTCACTGTAACCTCAAATTCCTAGCCTCAAGTGATCCTCCTGCCTTGGCCTCCCAAAGTGCTGGGATTACAGGTGTGATCTGCCTCACCTGGCCACAATGTTTACTTTTGACTGAGTTGAATTTAATGACTGTCCTGTAAGTCACATTTTCTTAACCCACATCTCTAAATCAAGACTATCAATAAGCCAGGCGCGGTGGTTCTTGCCTGTAATCCTAGCACTCTGGGAGGCTGAGGCGGGTGGATTGCTCAAGGTCAGGAGTTCGAAACCAGCCTGAGCAAGAGTGAGACCCCGTCTCTACTATAAACAGAAAGAAATTAATTGGCCAACTAATATATATAGAAAAAAATTAGCCGGGCATGGTGGCACATGCCTGTAGTCCCAGCTACTTGGGAGGCTGAGGCAGGAGGATTGCTTGAGCCCAGGAGTTTGAGGTTGCTGTGAGCTAGGCTGACGCCACGGCACTCACTCTAGCCTGGGAAAACAAAGCGAGACTCTGTCTCAAAAAAAAAAAAAAAAAAGACTATCAATAGAAAATGGTTCCTAATCTTTTTGAGCCATGAATTACATATTTTAAAAAAATATTTGTTTCATGAGACTGCTATTTCATAAAACAGGATTGAATGTTAGTCTAAACTTGATGATATATAGCAAGATTAATTTTTTTAATCTTATAATTTTACTATGAATCACACCAGTGACAAGGCCATAGAAACAGAATCCATGACCAATGATAATTACTTTGCTACTCCTGGCCCCATAATCCAGCGGTTGGAAGAAAGTGGTAAGTATAAAAATCAAATTACTTCTCAAGTTATATTCTTGCTAGACTATCTTTGTACAAAAATAGTATACCTTAGAGGTACAAAAATGTCACCTTAGACATTCTAATAGTTTTCTCCTTTTTTAAATTTTTTTGGAGACTGTCTCTCATTCTGTCACCCCAGGTAGAGTATAGTGGTGTCATCATAGGTCCCTGCATCCTCCAATTTGTGGGCTCAAGAGATCCTCCTGCCTCAGCCTCCTCCCAAGTAACTGGGACTACAGGCACATGCTACCACACTCAACTAACTTTTCTGTTTTTGGTAGAGGTGGGGTCTCACTTTTGCTCAGGCTGGTCTCAAATTCCTGGCCTCAAGCCATCCTCCTGCCTTGGCCTCAAAATGCTAAAATTACACTTGGCGTATAATGTAGTTTTTTGTTGTTGTTGTTGTGTTTTTTTTTTTTTTTTTTTCTAAACCAAGGACTCATGTTATCAATTCTGGTGGCTTATGCCTATAATCCCAGTACTTTGGGAGACTGAAGTGAGAGGATTGCTTGAGGCCAGGAGTTTGAGATCAGCCTGGGCAACACTGCAAGACTGCATCTCTAAGAAAAATTTTTTTAATTAGTTGGGCATGGTGGCACATGCCTGTAGTCCTAGCAACTCAGAAGGTTGAAGCAAGAAGGATCACTTGAGACCAAGAGTTCAAGGTTGCAGTAAGTTGTGATCGTGCCATTGCCCTTCTGCCTGGGCAACAGGGTGAGACTTTGTCTCTAAACAATAAATAAATAAAGGATAAAAATTACATTGACAAAGCTTATAACTTAAAAGTTAAAATCTTATTTCAGCTATAGTCTCATCTTTATTTTCATGACCATTGTATGTGTCTTCTAGATGTCAAGTATACAAATTCCCCCTTGGCACCTACATTCTGCACTCCTGGTTTGAAAATTCCTTCTACAAAGAACAGCACAGCTTTGGTAACTTTCTGTAAAATTGAAAACTCTAATCTTGCTCCTAACAACTCAGATACAGTATTGCTTCCAGACTTGGTCTGTTTTAATGACTTACACTAATGAAGACTTTAGGAATATATTTTGAGGGTAATTTGGCAGCATAGATCAAGAGCTTCACAATTTTTTTCATACCCTTTAACCATGTCTCAGAATTTGTTCTAAAATAACTTTGGACAAAGATTTGTAACAGGGAAGTTATAGAGGAAGGAATAGCATTATTTGTAAGAGCAAAACATGGGGAACAATATAAATGTCAAGTGATAGAGAAGCGAAGTGCAATAAGGCATAGCTGTGAGATCTGGTGTTACTTCACATATTTTGAAAAACAGATGAGAACATAAAAAGTATGTTTTCAAGTAATATTTAATCATGGAAATGACATGTACATATGTACACACACACATATATACACACATATTTTAAGGAAAAGGAATGTATAGAAAGACACCAATATGTAGTTATCTCTGGGTAATAGATTTAAGGTGATTATATGCCCTCCCCCAAATTAATGGACCAATTTAATCAAATCAAAACCTATCCCTCTTTAAAGTCTGTAGGAACATTTAAGATGACCAATAGTGTAGACAACCAATACTATATTAAGGTCTCCAATAGAATTTCCTGTAATGATGGAAATATTCTATAATCTGCACTTATATAGTAGCCACTAATCAAATGTAGTTACTGGACACTTAAAATGTGGTTAGTGTATCTGAGGAAATGATTTTTTAATTTTATTTAATTTTAATTAATTTAAATTTACATGTGAGTAGCCTCATGTGGCTTGTAGCTGCTATATTAGACAGTGCAGCTGTAGACAAACAGTGTTGTTTATCAATTGAAGTTTCAGGTCATCTGCCTGCTGGTACTTGTCATTTACAATTAATCTACTTCTCAGGTTTCAGTTTACATGGAAGGTGGCCTGCTCATGCGACACTCCCATCCTCCCTATTAACCTTGACTGCAGGGAGATGGGTGACTTACCCAGTTAGTCCATTTAGCATGAATAAACTGCAAGTTGAGCTTGCCTCAGATCTGCTTCCCTTTCTCTGGAGGGCGCCTGCCTGCTGAGGGCGTAGGTAACCTACTCATCCTTGTGGTGACTCCTCTGGCCAGCGTGGTGCTGCTTGAGATGGGTGGGAGAGTCGTCCAAATCTGGGCTCAGGCAACACATCCGCTTAGTTGTGACATCAAGCTCTAACTCAGTCTTCATTAGTAACGAAGATGGTATTTTGTCCTTACACCATTTCTTTTTCTTGATTTTGTTTAGAACTTAGTCGGGGGAGAGAGAGGGTCATTTGGGGGCCTACATACAGCACCCAACAACTATCAAATAACTAACAATTTTTATTTACTACATTATTTTATACTACCGTAATGATTTATTTTTATTCAACAGGTATCCACAAATTATTCACTATCAAAAACAAATAGTTCATCAGATGATTTGGAAGTTAAAGATTGTACTTCTGTAATTTTAAATTCAGACAAGTGCTTTGAGAATCTTGCAGATCCCTCTTCTCCCATGATTTCTTCTTATGAGAATCTGCTCAGAACACCTACACCTCCAGAAGTAACTACGATTCCAGAAAATATTCTCCAGGTTATTTTTCCAGGCTATTTTATTTTTTCTATTCTTTTCAAAATTAGATTTTTATAGTAAGTACTTGAAATGCTTATAAACTGTCTTATTTATTATTGGGCTAATGTGCTAGTTTTGGTATTGAGAAAATCTAAATTCTAAGCTATTGGACCATTCTAAGACCACCTGGCTAAGACTCTTCTGAGCTGAGCACAAGCTAGGGGCTTCTTCATATTTTTAGTGATATTACCTTTATGGGTCATTTCCTCTTTACCTCTAACTCCTCAGAGTGTATTTTAGGCCTTAGAAATCAGTCCTTCACATCAAAGTTAAATTTCTAATATCTCCATCTTCTCATTGCTGTTGACTATCTGTGTGCACTATTGTTTAAAAAATTCTTAGTGTTTTAAATAACCCATATCTTGAAATTGTCCCTGAATTTTCTTAAAACATTTTATAACACTTTCCAAATTTAAGTTATGTTTATGTGATTTGCTAAAAAAGAATTTGCTTTTTGTTTTAGATTTTATCAAAATACAACTCAAACCTAACTACTCCAGTAGCAGTTAAAGCAGTGCCACCCCACAAAGGGTTCCTCAAATATGAAGGAAAGAACATCCAAGGTGTTGGCAACAAAGAAAACTGGTGAGTATGTTACTTTATCAAGAAAGTTTGTGGGCCGGGCACGGTGGCTCACGCCTGTAATCCTAGCTCTTGGGAGGCCGAGGCGGGCGGATTGCTCAAGGTCAGGAGTTCAAAACCAGCCTGAGCAAGAGCGAGACCCCGTCTCTACTATAAATAGAAAGAAATTAATTGGCCAACTGATATATATATAAAAAATTAGCCGGGCATGGTGGCGCATGCCTGTAGTCCCAGCTACCCGGGAGGCTGAGGCAGAAGGATCACTCGAGCCCAGGAGTTTGAGGTTGCTGTGAGCTAGGCTGACGCCACGGCACTCACTCTAGCCTGGGCAACAAAGTGAGACTCTGTCTCAAAAAAAAAAAAAAAGAAAGTTTGTGTCTTATTTGAGAAGAACATTTAAAAATTAACATTTGAATGGTAGTAAACATTTTGTTTTTAATTGACATTTGCCAGCTTAGGTTAATAGCCTGTCTTTATCTTTTGATACAGACTTTGTGATCCCTGAATCACAGACTCCCAAATTTGATGACTCCCGAGTTTGATGATACCAGTATCTATTCTCAATGATTTAAAAATATATAGCTACAGTGTTGTCATTTGTTTTGTTGATGGCTTTTAGTTATACTTAATTGATATTTTTTATTTGTATCTGTTGCAGAACTTCTATTGCATTCATCCATTACAGAAACTGAACAGCTGAGATGAAAACAGGGCTGGACTCACTTTGTTATTCCCATTCCCCTACCTCTTTCCCCCTTTTTCAAACCAACTCATTTCAGAGAGGAACATGGACATTGGTGTAACCATATGCTTGTTGTGATGTTTTGATTTGGTTTAACCTCAGTCTTGTTGACATGTGGTTCATTCATTCAGTTTTTAGGATTATTACTGTTTCATTGATATTAAATTATTTTGCTTAATTTAACAGAATGGTTTAAATAATATCAGGAAGTAGGACAAATAACTTTAAAAGTATAAATGCTGCTGTTTGCTGCTCAGATGAGGCCACCCTGACCTTCCCGTAGCCAGGCGGTCACTGCTGCCAGCCAGCTCGGCCTTCCCTCGTCTCCCCTCAGGATTGTCCCAGAGCCTTTTACACCTTTTATTTCAACACTCTTACGACTATTGCTGTTTGCAAGTGACAGAAACACAGCTTAAACTTAGGAAAAGAGGGGGATTTCTGGGCCTGGGTGATGCACTGACTATAGTTGGAGGTGAGAGGAGGCCCCAGACAGTTGGACTTGGGGACTCACTGTTGTCAGCTTGTGTGTTTTTCTTCTCTTTTCTCCCAGCTTTTTACTATTGGCTTTGTTCTTTCCCATCAGCTCCTCCCACCCATGGCTGTTGCCCTCTCAGCCTCTGCTCTCCACCTTGGCCACCCCTCTGTGGAAGTTTCGATGGCTTGTCCTGGGTCAGGGGCACTCCGGTGGACTGTCAGCTGTGGCCAGGAGCCTCTCTGCAGCTCCGTGGCAGTTTCAGACTGCCCAGTCCATAGAGCCTGAGATCCTTCCAGTTTAAGCACAACTGGAAAGTAATTAAGTTCATGACAGTGCTGTTGAAGAACTGTCAAATTATAGCCAATGGGAAAATAATAAGGATCTAGTGTTCTGTTGAGACCAGTTTAAAATTTGGGAAGAAACTGATAAGTATCATGACAAAGTCCTTCAAAGGCTTAGCTTTGGGAAATTTGAAGCAATAAAGATTACCCATTTTATGACTGTCTCTTTTGTTGTTTGTTTGAGACAGTCTCACTCTCACCTGGGCTAGAGTGCCGTGGCATCAGCCTAACTCATAGCAACCTCAAACTCCTTGGCTCAAGCAATCCTGCTTAATCTAACAGGTAGCTTCCAAGTAGCTCAGACTGCAGGCATGCACCACCATGTCCAGCTAATTTCTTTCTATTTTTAGTAGACATGGGGTCTTACTCTTGCTCAGGCTGGTCTTGGACTTCTGACCTTGAGCTATCCTCCTGCCTCAACCTCCCAGAGTGCTAGGATTATAGGCATGAGCCACCACGCCCAGCCTGAGATTGTGTCTTGAGTCAAATGAATGACCTGTCACATTACGCTCTATCAATCCTGTCAGAAAATTGTTACCAAAACAAAATTTAGTCCTTGTTCCAGGAATTACTGTGTAGTTGTAAGTATTGTAAGTATAATTTTCTTAAATATAATGTAAAATAAATTATTTTCAAGATAGTTTTCAAAGTAAAGCTCAAGTCAACCTTATATGCACTGATGATTCTAAAATTTACATCACCTTTTCACTGTATAACCATAAGTGTATGTGAGTCCCCAGAACTGGAAGAGACTGGAGGGAGGGAGTGGACCAGGGACTGAGTCCTGGGCTTCTCCCAGATTTGGAGGATGTAGACAGGCAGAATAATCTAGCAAAGGCCAGTGGAGTAGGAAAAAAATATTTCAAGGAGAGTGATGATTCTGTCAGTATTGCTGAGAATTCAAGTGAAAAGATGACTGAGAATTGACCGATGGATTTGGCAAAGTCAGTGTTATTGACAACACCAGTTGGCTTGGGTGGAGTGCTAGTGATAGAAGTCTGGAGTGGGCTGAAGAGAAAATAGGTGAAGAAGTAAAAACAACTGCTTTAGACAGCTCCTTTGGCTAGTTTTGCTAAAGAAGGGAGGAGAGAGAAGGGGCAGCATCTGGCAGGGGTTATGGAGCAAAGAGGAGGTTTTAAGATGGGCAATAAAAACTTGAGCATTTCTGATTGCCTACAGGGGCTCCTGTAGGCACTTGCTTTGTGATGACCCCTGAAATTCATTTGTCCAAACTTCATCTTTCCCTGACCCTTACCACCTTACTCCTATGATCCTAGTTTCTTTTTTTCTTTTCTTTTTCTTTTTTTTTTTTTGAGACAGACTCTCACTCTGTTGCCCGGGCTAAGGTGCCATGGCGTCAGCCTAGCTCACAGCAACCTCAAACTCCTGGGCTCAAGCAATCCTTCTACCTCAGCCTCCCAAGTAACTGGGACTACAGGCGTGCACCACCATGCCCAGCTAATTTTCTCTATATATTTTTAGTTGGCCAATTAATTTCTGTCTATTTTTAGTAGAGATGGGGTTTCGAGCTTGCTCAGGCTGGTTCGAACTCCTGAACTTGAGCCATCCTCCAGCCTCCCAGAGTGCTAGGATTACAGGTGTGAGCCACCAAGCCCAGCCTGATCCTAGTTTCTGTTAGATCCATGATGCTTCCAGCTTCTCAAACTCCAAACATTGGGATCTTTCAAGCATGTCTTCCCACTGCTCTTAAAATGAAACCCAAGATCCTCAATATGGTCCACATGGCCCTGTGTAGTTTGACCCCAGCTTGCTTTTCCCTCATGCTCCATGGGTTCTGGGCACACCACCATTCTGCCTCTAGGCCTTGCACACGCTGCTCTCTGCCTAGAATACTACTTTCTGCTTCACTGGCTCTCCCTCTCATCCTTAAGTGGTGGACACCTGGTGTTTCTATCTGCCCTATACTATTGCCCTTAACAACTTACAGGCCGGATCCACGCTCCACCAAGTAGCATCACAATTTCTGACTATACCGGTCCGAGATGGGTGTGGGATCCCAGCCCATTCTGGGACCTTGGGCCAGTGCTGGAGAAGAGCAGCGCACCCCCTTTCTGGAGCTGCAGTGGCACACCTGGAGCTGCGGCTGCACCGTCCACCGTGGATGGGAAGCCTGCGTGAGAGGGAGCCTCCCCTCTCAGTTGAGGCAACAGCTGTGTTGGAGGCCAATGATCAGCTGGGCCTGATGCCAACTAGTTCATTAAATGATCCAGAAACTCCTCGTGCTTAAGCAAGCTGGAGTTTTCCCTTAAGAGTCCTGGCTGATTATCTTCAGGTCTCAGATTGAATGTCATTTTATCAAAAACTTTATCTATCTTCCCAGTTTAAAATAAGTCGTCTCTCTTTCTCAGCACCCTATTCTTGTCCTTCATAGCACTTGGTACAGTTTGTAATAAAATACATTTATTTTATTACATTTATCTAGTTCACCTAGCTCCCGCATTGGACGGCAAGCTCAATGAGGGCAAGGCCAAGGCCCTTGTTTGTTTGCTTGCTTTGTTCATTACTCTGGTACCTAGCAATTTAAAGTATCTAGTGGCTGAATTAGTGATGACGTCAAACAATTGAGATCTTACTGTACCAGGCATGGTTCTAAATGCTTTACACTTACCTCAGCTGTAACCTACTTAATTCGTTAGGTCATTGAGGTAAGCTTTTTCAGGTGAGGAAATTGAGGCTTTAATGATCGGCTTTCCTCTCCCGTGTCCCATTTCCCAGCCTGAGCCTTGTGATTGCCATGCCCTCCAGGTGGTCTCTGCACATCCCTGGAATATTCCTCCCCTCTACCCTCTGCCACTATTCTGATTCTCGCCTAGATTGTTGCAATAGTATCTGACACTCCTACCTCTTCACCTTGAACTCCTACCAAAAGTCAGTACGTAAGAAGCGTTCCACTATTTGTCATTCCTTTTGTTCGTGCCGTACCCTGTATCTGGAATACAAATCCCACTCCTCTTTTAGGAGTTGGGCAAGTGCAAACGCCAACTCCAGAAAGCCTTTCATTATCTCACCATATGGTGTTCTCTGGAGTAGCAATTTATCCTCCTTTCTTGTGACTCTTCTCTACCTTTTGCCATCTTTCCTAACTAGACTAAGACTTTATGAGGAAGTATCTGTGTCTGTGCAGATTGGTCTCTGTATTGCCAGTTCCATGTCATCTGGTACATATTAGGTTATTAAGTATGCAATGTCCCATTTCCTTAAGTAATAAGTTTGACGTTGATAAGTCTGACATTTCACTTTGACGCTTCTTCAATTTTTTTTGGTTGTTTTTTTGTGAAGGTACATCCTCATTCTTTTAAACACACATTTTGGCTTGTGATTAGCTTTCAAATTTCTTTTTAGAGCAATTTTTGTGAAACCACAGATAAGTCAAAAATTCACGTTATTTTTGAACATGAGTTCCATTGTGGAACCATTGCAACACAGCTGCAAATATCAACAAAGTGTTCAGGAAGGATGTGTCTAATGAACGCACAGTACGTCGATGGTGTGAGAAGTTCCATTCTGGTGGTTTTAATATTGAAAATGAGCCCTGAGACCAAGGTGGATAATGAGATGAAAGCTATAGTGGACGTAAATCCATCTCAACCTACGACGTGTGAAATAGCAAGCAGCAAGGTTGGATGTTACTATTCCAACAACATTGGGCCATTTGAAACACATGGGCAGAGTAAAGAAGTTGGACAGCTAGGTACCACATGAATTAAATGAACATCAGAAGAGAAATCGTCATGAAGCTTGCCTTTCTTTGCTGTCACAACATAAAGGTGAGCCATTTCTACACCATATTGTTACATGTGATGAAAAATCACAAGCGTTTGGCACAATAGTTGGATGAAGATGAACTGCCAAAACAGTCCAAAACTGAATATTCATCAAAACAGCTAATGGTGTCTGTTTGGTGGTTCGGCTGGTATTAACCACTACAGCTTCATGAAACCTGGTCAGTCGATTACAGCTGATGTCTACTGCCCCCAGTTGGGATAAAATGAGGATGCTTGCAATGAAACAGCTGAGACTGGTCGGTTGAAACAGGCCAATCCTCTTGAAAGATCACGTGTCACAGAAACAACACTGCTCAAACTACTGAAGCTGGACTTGGAAACTCTTGTCATATTCACCAGACCTTACACCAACTGACTACCACTTCTTCCAGGTTTTGGACAACTTGCGAGGAAAAATATTCAGTTCTCAACAAGCTGTGGAAAACACCTTTTGTGATTTCATCACCACTCACTCTCCAGGCTTCTCTGCTGCTGGCATAAACAAGCTCGGTTAAGATGGCAAAACAGCACTCTGGGAGGCTGAGGCGGGCAGATTGCTTGAGTTCAGGAGTTCAAAACCAGCCTGAGCAAGAGTGAGACCCCGTCTCTAAATAGAAAGAAAATTAATTGGCCAACTAATATATATAGAAAAAAAATGAGCCGGGCACGGTGGCACATGCCTGTAGTCCTAGCTACTCGGGAGGCTGAGGCAGGAGGATTGCTTGAGCCCTGGAGATTGAGGTTGCTGTGAGCTAGGCTGACGCCACGGCACTCACTCTAGCCTAGGCAACAAAGTGAGACTCTGTCTCAAAAAAAAAAAAAAGGCAAAACAGTCGATAGTTTAGGTACATACTTTGATTGTACTGGTTGTTTGAGATATAATAAACTACTTTTTATCTGAAATCAGACATTTAATATTTAATGACCTAACAATATAAAGCATCAATTTAGCATATTTCCTGCCAAAGTATTGGAAAGTGTGAGGGGAGTTAATATAATCAGGAATACTTCAAATTCAGTTTTCAATAATTACTCTCTTCAGGTTTTACACAAGTTTTGAAAATCCCTCAGGAGGTTCACCTAAATTCTTAAATTGCTCTAATTTCACCAAATCCTACCTGTGAAATTTTCCCAGTTGGTTGTAACTGGGCTGGCATGCTGGCCTGGGTAGGATAGGAAATTCTGAACAAAGGTACAAAGGGGCTAGAAATGTCTTTTTTTCTCTTTTCTTTTAAAATCAGCTGACATTTATTGAAAATTCACTGTCCATCAGGCTCTCCCCTAAGCACTGTATCATTGACACCACCCAACTGTTTTATGAGGTAGGTATGTCATAACCACCTTTCCACAATCAGGTCTGCATAACATTCTCAGGCTAAGAATTTTTGCTTATTAAAATTACTTTTTAGTATTCAGTATTAAAACTGCTTTTAGGTTTTAGCTTATTCTCCCTAGTGATTTCTTGGGGGGGGGGGCGGTGAGAATCCATGACTTTTTCTTCACAGAACAGCTGCCTAGTAGTGATTAATCCTTTCTTACAAAATAAATGTAACTTCCTTCAAGCTTGTTCCACTGCAGATTCCAGGAAATTACAGCTGTTGGCAAAAGTAACCTGCATCTAAGCAATAAAAGACAAACCAGAACAATAAGGCTGCCCTTACCAAAGTGGAAACCTTGACTATATCATTTTTTTTTAAAAAAAGGTGTTTTTGGTTTGTACAAAAACTGGATAAAGGTCTACTTATCTTGGCAGAAATTTATAATTGTAGGGGATAATGTCACTGTAAGAGCAATGTCACTGTAGTGTAGGTGGAAGCCAAACTAATGACTTGAGGATAGAAGAAACTAAGTATGAAAGAACACTTTCTGGAAATGTATGTTTCAACCCATCCTCTATGGTTCCCTCCGTTCAATGCCTTGCCCCCCTCCACTTTTGAACTATTATTTAAAGTATGGCTCTATCTGGGCTGACTTTTTAACCAACCGAGGCCTCAAGTTCACTTATAAATGGAAACTGTAGTTATATATCAGTCATGAAGGCTAAATGAGATAATACATGGTAAAATTGTTCCTTAGCCCAGTACAGATGCTCCTTAACTTGTCATGGCGTCATGAGTCTGAATAAACTCATCATTAGCTAAAAATATCCAAAGTCAAAAGTGCATTTACTACTTTTCAATAATTTTCAATTTATGACATTATCTGGATATAGCCCCATCATTAAGTCAAGAAGCACACTGAATATATATTGCTTTCACACCACTGCAAAGCTGAAAAATCAGAAGTCAAACCATTGTTAAGTCAGGGACCATCTGTATTTGACACAGCTAAGCATAATTGTATAAAATCATAATTATAAACTTGGTTTTAGAGTGTTGTCTTCTCAATTTCACAAAAACGAGTGGAATTTGATTAAATAGAGACTGAGTTCAACTCTTTATTTAATAAGTTGAAAATTTAGAGAATTTTAAACCTAGCCTAACAGTTTAATAGTTTTCTTTCCCCATTCATATCTGTTCCTCACATGCTTGCATGTGCACACATGCATAAAACTGGTACCTGAAACATCACCTGAGTCCATGACTAGAGTCTAACTGTCCCAGTATTTGTATACTGAGAACACTGAAAAGACAAAGGCAATCTCATATACTATAACTTACATATACCAAAGGGAAAACGTCAACTTCAAAATACTATGAGCAATTGAGGCAATCAGGGCAGATACTAAAGCACGGAACAAGATGCTATCATGGTGACTATTTCTATTTTATATCTGAGGAAACAGCAGTTATCAGCCATACTTATTTACCAAAGCCAGAGGTAAACAAGGACTAAGTACAAGTCCTTTGATTCTTAGCATTATATCAATAATAAATTCACTAGGTATTTTTCACATACTTTTGGTGGGAGATTGAAATCTTTAAAGGAAACATTCCATGTTGGAACCAAGCAAAGGGTGAATTTGGCAAACCAGCGAAACCACTTTAAACTAATGGGAGAATAACTTGGAATTACAGGGAAGCCCTTGCTAAGAGTTCACACCATATGAAACCCTGGCTTATGGAGGTACTTTATTAAAGTTCCCACCCTCGATCTGCAGAGTAAATCATAGTCCTTCCCCATCCCACCCCCACAAATAGAAAAATAATGGCTATTTCCAGAAAATTAGGTTTAAATTAAGTTTATGGCACATAGAACTCAAATCCATCTAGTCTGAATGAATTAAACCACTTGAGGGTTGGGGGTAAACCATAGCACAGCAGAGGCACAAGATCCAGTCTGGTCTGTTACTGACTTGGTAACAGGGACACCAATTCCACAGAATCATTTGATTTTAAATGGCTGCTTTTGTATGCACAAGATAAATCTAGTACAATTTTATTACTGCTAGCACATTTTTTTCATTTTGGGATATACAATTTCAGTTCTCTACTGTAACAGACTAAAGGTAATTAGGCTCAGTACACACTGCCATACTGTTTATAAACTTCAAAACAGAAGTATAGTATTTCCATGAAAGCCAGGGTTCCAGTTTTGACTGAACTCCACTTTATGGCCATTAACCAGTAGTTATTCTTATCTGTCAGGCACTACTCTAAGCCCTTTGCAAATAATCTTCACAATCCCACAAACTGTTATCTCCATTTTACAGAATAAAGACTTGATCCAAGTCATCTGTCCAAGGTTGCAGAGCTACTGGTACAATCGGGATGTAACTGTTTTGCCCCAAGGTCTTAACTGCTATGCTATACTGCCTCTCAAACTGGATGCACACCAGCCCCAGCACACAGCAGGATGTGTGAATATCTCCTACTCAATCTGACCTCATCCCTGGCTCTTTGCACTTGGTCTTAAGATTTGTCTTTAATCCATCTCTCCAACCTTTCCACCCTTACCCTGTGTTCTAATCCTGTTTCCTCTATACTGGTTCCTGCCTTCAAAATGCCCTATTGCCCCCATTTCTAAAACATGAAAACCCCTCACTGTGGTACCTGTTCTTTTCTGTAACCTTTTATGTCACAGTACCCTGATCAAGGCAGGCCAATCTCTCCTAACAGGTGCTTCAGTTTGGCTCAGCTCCACCATTCCAGAACACCTCTGCTGCCACATCGCCTCATTCTCACAGCTCCTTTTCCTAATTGCACACAACAGTCTATCTGACAAAGTCACACTTGATTTCATACAATCTCAAGGCTTTCTTGCTGTGCCCTTTTTGGCCTTAAACATACCCTCTTCCAACATGAGATTAAACCCTGTTTCCATGCCTCCATTAACTTTCACACTCAGGCTGAGTACACACATGTATTTAACAATACAGTTTTACACAGAATGGTAAGAGCACTTTTCTTCATAGTTTACAGAAAGGCTTGAAACACATGGATTTTCTATTAATATTCATACCATAGCACATCCAAATCTAAACTCCTAAATAGATGCATTATAATTTGTTTAGAATTTAAAGGCTTAATGGCAATAATCAGAGGAGGAAAAAGAACATGTAAGTTTATTTTACATAACTGACCAAAAAATAAACTCAAGAAATAGTAAATAGAATTTAATAGGGTCTCATGCGCCCCGAAGGAGGTGGTGCTCGATTTGGAGGGGTAATCGCTATATCCAAATAATCTCCTATTTGGAACTTCTGCGACTGCAGGGTCATGGAATCATCAGTCCCCTTTCGGCCAGACATGGTGCTGCCAATCTCCTTAACTCTGCAGAAAAGAAAATCAACTGTTAATGATCCACAGATCAATGAAAACTAATGGGTACTATGAAGTAAATAGGGGACTGGATTTGTTCCATCATCTTATATAACACAGTTCAAAAATGTAAGTACTATATTAAGCTAAATCAGATATGATTATGATAATATAAATCCATATTCCCCTCACAAGATTCATTAAAGCAGTTATCTCCATCAGTTAAAACATGAAAAACAAAAAGATTACAGGAATTAAAAGTGAGAAGTTACCTACCGATAGCCAGGTCTTTTAAGATCTGTAAAAACGATTGCAAAATTGAAGTGTGTGCCCTTCTTTCTAGCTTCTGGGTAGACTTCTTTTACTAAACTAGTCAGTTCTTTCAAGGTTGCATCCATCCTGAATTTTTTTAAAAAAGACATTTACATTTGATTAATCAGCAATAATATAACAAGGATAGTGACATACAATGAGTTAATTAAATATATATGGGTGTTTATGACTTATGTCAGAAACTGCCAGGGTCTTACACTATAGTTTAATTTTAAAGCAGCTACAAATTCTATTTGCCTCCAAAAATTCCCTGTATCAGCCTGTGGGAAATTTTGATTAATTAAAGTCAGATGCTGAGTTTGAGCCCACCCTGGGCAATATAGTGAGATTCAATCGCCACAAAAAATTTTTTTAATCAGCCAGGTGCAGTGGCACCCACCTGTAGTCGTGGCTACTTGGGATGCTGAGGCAGAAGAACTACCTGAGCCCAGGACTTGGAAGCTGCAGTGAACCATGAATGCACCACTGCACTCCAGCCTGGGAGATAAGAGTAAGATCCTGTTTCTTTAAAAAAAAAAAAAAAAGTCAAACTCTTAGTGTTAAAAAGAAAATTCAGCAATCTAGAGATTCCATATTCTAATCTTCTGTTGCCATATAACATCTTATGGTCTAATGATTTACCTCTCTAAGGCTACTATGGATAACTAGTCCAAATTAATTGAAATAGGTAATGCATCTTAGAATCAATGAGATAGGAAAGCATTTTTATAGAAACGTAGTGTCTTTCTTAGATGGAATCTTAAGATGAGTTTACAATAGAAGGAGTCCTAAATCAATGAAATTTTCTCAAGACGAAGCTCAGGCTCCTCTCACAATAGATTCTTATCCTGCAAATACTGATGTGAACTCAACTTTATATAGTCCCCTGAGGTAACAGGACACAATCTGGGAAAATCTGTTCTGTTTTTTGTTTTGTTTTGTTTTGAGACAGGGTCTCACTGTCACCAGGGCTATAGTACAGTGGGTGGCATCATCATAGCTCACAGCAATCTAACTCCTGGGCTCAAGTGATCCTCCTGCCTCAGCCTCTCAAGTAGCAGGGGGACTAGAAGTGTGGGTCAACTGGCTCATTTTTTGTAGAGGTAGGGTCTCCAACTCCTGGCTTCAAGCAATCCTCCTGTCTCAGCCTCCCAACGTGCTAAGATTACAGGCGTGAGCCACCATACCCAGCATGGAAAAGTCTTTTAAAAATAGGTATCTTAGGCAGGGCGCGGTGGCTCACGCCTATAATCCTAGCACTCTGGGAGGCTGAGGCGGGCAGATTGCTCGAGGTCAGGAGTTTGAAACTAGCCTGATCAAGAGCAAGACCCGTCTCTACTATAAATAGAAAGAAATTAATTGGCCAACTAATATATATAGGAAAAAAAACTAGCCAGGCATGGTGGTGCATGCCTGTAGTCCCAGCTACTCGGGAGGCTGAGGCAGAAGGGCAGAAGGATTGCTTGAGCCCAGGAGTTTGAGGTTGCTGTGAGCTAGGCCGACGCCACGGCACTCACTCTAGCTTGGGCAACAAAGTGAGACTCTGTCTCTAAAAAAAAAAAAGGAATCTTAGAAATAATAACAATCTCATATATGTTTTTATATAGTTTTTTTCCATGACAGCTAGGAAAATGAAATGGATGGTTTGCAACTTGAAACAGCATTACCTGGAGAGTCCTATAAAATGGCATAAGGACTCTGAGCACTCCTGGAAATGAGAACTCTCATGTACAGCATCAAGTAGGGAACCAAACATCAAAGAGCTCATTCAGCTTTAGCTCTGTACTCTATTCACAAATCTCCACCACACTATACCCAAAGTAAACCAATGCTTCTACTACACTGAATAAAACTACCTGGGATGACCACATCATCTGTTTTCTATATCAGCCTGTACCAAATCTTGCTCAATATTCCCATAACAGAACTCAATAGTCTTCTCCCCAAAACATGCCTTTCCTCTCATATTTCTATCAAAAATACCATCACCCACTTAGCTGTGCACGTCATAACCATAAGCACTATTCAGTTCATCCCATCTCCATCCTGTTATATGAAGATCTATTTTTTGTCCATCCCCACTGTCATTGCTTTATTTCAAACCTCTCATTACAATCCTTTGTATATGTTGCCTTCAACTTATTTCCATCCTAGTTTTTAAAAGTTTCTGTTTTTGTATAAAACTGGTATGTCAAACAAGTGACACCTGTTAGCAAAGAGCCTAACAATGTCTACGACCAGGAGAATCCCAGGATGTCAAGCTAGTGTGTGATGTGTAGGTGTCAGAGTCACAAAGACAGACATGACTCATTCTGGCACTGGCTGGAACGACACTTTGCTCACACAAAGAGACAGTGTGACACTTTGCTCACACAAAGAGACAGTGTTAAGATCACCACCTGCCCTAGGGCTAGCGGCTCTCAGCCCACAGCCAACACAGGGAGACGACTCCTCTCACGCTGCAGGCAAAGGTCCCCCCACCTCGTTGGGAGTGGACATAGCAGTAGGGTTGGCAGGTGCCATACAGCACACGCACATAAGCAAAGCTCACATCAAGTTCAGAACAGGAAAATATATTCCCAAAGAGATCTGCCCAACACGGGTTCCTCTTTGCAAGGAAATGTTTCAGACCCAAGGCCACTCTATGTACATCAGGGGTGAGAGGCTGGGCATAACTGCCCTTCCCAACTCAATACATGCACATTATTTAAAGAGGCAGGGAAAAGAGATATGCAAGAAAGCAATAAATTGTATCCCAAATCTCACTAATCAGAAATAACTACTGATGTTAACTTCACCATGAGCATCTTTTTGTGCATATCCACAGTGCAGAGAAAAAAATTCTTCAGATACCAAGCATATTATAATGCTGAGATAATACAAAAATATAAATCATGCTATAATATATATTTTAATAAAAATTAAATTTTATTTTGAGAAGAAAAACACTAAAGTCAAACTGAAGAAATTGTAACTTCAGATAAAGACTTACATTGTTACCCTTCCTCTTAGGTAATTTTGTAACTTATTTTTACTTTGTCAGAGTTCATATTTTATTCTGCAACATAAAACAGTTATTTTATTTTATATTTGTCCCCACTGAACTCCAATGATGGCATAAACCTGAGGTCGGGCTGATTTTATCTGTTTTGGAGGTCATTTTTTTTTTTACTCAATATTCTGATGTTAATTATTGTGTATCAATCACAGGTGGTGTATCCCTTATCAGAAATGCCTGGGACTTAATCCTAGCACTCTGGGAGGCTGAGGTGGGCGGACTGCTCGAGGTCAGGAGTTTGAAACCAGCCTGAGCGAGACCCCGTCTCTACTAAAAATAGAAAGAAATTGACCAACTAAAAATATTATAACAAAATTAGCTGGGCATGGGTGGCGCATGCCTGTAGTCATACTCGGGAGGCTGCGGCAGGAGGATCGCTTGACCAGGAGATTGAGGTTGCTGAGAGCTAGGCTGACACCAACAGCCTCACTCTAGCCTGGGCAACAAAGTGAGACTCTGTTCAAGAGAGGAGAGATGGAAGATGGTAGAGGAGGAAAGAGAAGGAGAGAAGAGAGAGAGAGAGAGGAGGAGAGGAGGGAGGAGGAGGAAGAGGATGGGGATGAAGGAGGGGGAGGGGAGGAGAGGATGGCAGGGAGAGGAGAGGGGAGGGAGGGAGGGGAGGAGGGGAGGGAAGGAGGGAGGGAGGGAGAGGGGAGGAGGGAGGGTGAGGAGAGGAGAGAGAGAGAGAGAGGAGAGGAGAGGAGAAGAGGACGAGGAGGAGAGGTAGAGGAGAGGAGAAGGAGAGGAGAACGAGAGGAGGAAGAGGAGAGGAGAGGAGGAGAGAGGAGAGGAGAGGAGAGGAGAGGAGAGGAGAGGAGAGGAGAGATGCCTGGGACCAAAATGTTTAGGATTTTTCAGATTTTGGAATATTTGCATACACATAATGAGGCATCTTGGGGATGGGACTCACATATAAATGTGAAATTCACTTACTTTTTTTCATATACACACAGCTGGAAGATAACTTCATACAATATTTTAAATAATTTTGTGCATGAAACAAAGTTTGTTAAGTACCTATGTGTGGAAATTTCCACTTCTGGTGTCATGTCAGCACTGAAAGTTTCAAATTTTGGAGCATTTCAGATTTTGGAGTTGGGATGCTCGATCTGTATTCATTCTGATACACAATGTACTTATGATATATATACCAGAAAAGACTTTTTCCTTTCTAAAAACATTTTCCATATTGTCACCTTGCTCACAAGAACCTGGAGAATTCGTTTCACACCTTTTATCAGTTCTAACAGAATCCTCAACAAGTTTCCCACCTTCTAAGGACTGTCTTCCCAGACCAACAGCCGGAACGCCAAGCATTGCTTTCTGACCACTAGTCTGAAGCTTGAGGATGCATCTGGAGGATGCAAGGCAGAGCTTCCTCAGGGCTGAAGTCTTTGCTGGGTGACTGTGAGGTTCAGTATTACTATATGTCAACTTGATGAAGCTACAGTCCCCAGTTACAGAAGCAAATACTAATGCAGGTGTTGCTATGAGATATTTTGTAGATATGATTAAAGTCTATTACCAGTTAACTTTAAATTAGGGAGACTCTCCTACATAATCTGGGTGGGCCTCATTCCACTCGTTTAAAGGCCTTAACACACTGACTGCCACACTGGAAAAAATGTTTTCCCTTGGGGCCACAGAGTTTTATTATGAAAATGGAAGAAAAACTTCAAAAACAAAATGATTCATTCTAATTTAATGAAAAAATTGTTTTTTTAAATTGTTTTCTGTGCATGAGTTATATGCAACTTGAAAAATAGTTCTCAAGGCTCCCAAGAGTCTGAGTTACATATGCTTCACAAGGTCCCAGGCTCAAAACTAGTGTGAGTTAAATACAACTCACATGGCAATTAATGTGTTAAGAACAGACCTGAAGCTTCCCTGAAGAAATTTTGACTGTGGACAACTTAAGTTCACGTTCATGCTCCAGAGTTCCAGCCTTCCTGAGAGCCTGCCCTATGGATTTGGGACCTAGGTGCCTGGATTTGGGACCTAGGTGCCTAGCCAGCTTCCACAATCATCTAGTCGATTCTTTGCAATAAATCTTTTACTATGTCTCTCCTACTGGTTGTTATCTGATCGATCTCTTCCAACAACCTGTTTAATGACCACTCAAGCACAGGATATATACCACTCCTGTGGTATCTGGCTTACTCCTCAAACTCCACACAGCACCTTGGACTTTGGCAAACTCAACCTGCCTCTATAGGGCTCTTCTGGAATTCTACTTCTTTTTATTTGACTTGTCTTAGGGATGCCTACATTAGCCACTCGGCTTCCTCCAAAGTGAAAATTTCCAAAATTTGTTAACTAATCTTTCATTACTGCTTCTGGCAGTGGGGACAGGGATCTGTGCTACCCTAATACCAACCATCCAGTCTTTCAGAATCTTTGTCTTCTTTGGCCACCATTTTGAGATATAACTTAAGGTTGTTCCCTCTTTGTTCAGTGGCAATTTATGAACAGGGCAGTTTACTAGAGGACTGTAATTTTTTTTTTCTTGACTGGGAGGAGAAGGTCTGTGGAACAACCTTACCCAACCATCTAAACCCTAAAGTATTACTTAGTATATATTCATCTGCTTTCTCCAGTGGAATGACCTTACAACACAAAGGGGCAGAACATACTTTACTTTTTACCTTCAGGATCTAAATACAGCACCTGGCAGACAGAAACTCTTATTTTTTGGAAGAAATATACACTTTAATCTTTGAAAACACATCTTCATCAAGCCATTACTGAACAGTTCTTCCCTATAAGTTAAATCAACCTTCTCAAAACTTTTAACCTTGAGTGATGCTGAAGTAAAAGAAGCATAGCACTACATAAATTTAACAAGCACCTCCAAAAAAGACTAATAAGGTCCCAATCTTCAAAGCATTGGGTTCTAGTAGTCCAAGCTTACGGTTTACAATTACACACCTTTTGGGGAATGTAAAATCATGCAGCTGCTATGAAGAACCATTTGTTGGTTCCTCAAAAAATTTAAAAAAATCATATGACCCAGTGATCCACTACCAGGTATATACCCCAAAGAACTAAAAGCAGGGGCACAAACACATACTTGTATGCCAATGTTCATAGCAACTTTATTCACAATAATAAAAAGGTAGAAACCCAAGTGTCCTTCAACAGATGAGCAGATATGTGATGTATACATACAGTAGAATATTATTTGGCCTTGCAAAGGAAGGAAAGTATGATAGACACTACAACATGAACCCTGAAAACACTCTGCTAAGTGCAATAAGGTAGTAATGAGATGAAAAATACTGTAATGAATCCACTTATGTGTAATATCTACAACAGGCAAATTCATACAGAAAGTAGATTAGCAGCTACCAGAGAATGGGGGAGGGAGAAATGGAAAGCTATTGATTAATAGGTAAAAGATATCCTTAAAAGGATACAGTGCTGGCTGGGTGGCTCATGCCCGTAAACCCAGCACTTTGGGAGACCAAGGCTGGAGGATCACTTCCCTTGAGGCCAGAAGTTCCAAACCAGCCTAAGCAAGAGCGAGACCCTGTCTCTACAAAAAATAGAAAAATTAGCTAGGTGTGGTGTCATGAGCCTGCAGTCCCAGCTACTTGGGAGGCTGAGGCAGGAGGATCACTCTAGCCCAGGAGTTTGAGGTGAGCTATGATGATGCCACTGCACTCTACCCTGGGCAACAGAATGAAATCCTGTCTCAAGAAAAAGGAAAAAAAAAGTGGGGAGGGAGTACAAGGTTTCTGTTGGGAGGAAGGGGATGAAAAAGTTTTAGAAATACACTGGCTGCACAACACTGTGAATGTTACTAATGCCATCAAACCGGACACTTAAAAATGGTTAAAATGACAAATTTTATGTTATATATTAATATATTTTATCGCAATAAAAAATATTTTTAAACTACACACCTTTAACTGCTACTAAAAAGCCATTATAGTATCAATCCAAGGAGTTACACACAGCGTTAAAGACAAGTTAACAGCATGCACCTGTCCTAGTCAGACTTGGAAGAAGAGTGGGTACACATAACAAGAAATAAACATTGAGGAACCAATCTCCACTAAACACACACCAAAAGCTTTTCCATTAAGCCCTAGAGCAGAAATCACTTGGGTTTTGGCGGTGATTTATTTTTCCTGCTATGGCACCTAAGACTTAATATTAAATAGAAATGCTCTTTCAAAATACTAAATACCACGCAACAGCACACTCCCCCTTACCATGTTATCCTAGTACCATTTATTGGGCTACTGCATCTTAAGTATCTACACTGCATTTCCATAGCAGGAAGTCATAATGGCAATCTTGGGTTTGTCAGTTCTCAAAAACCCAAAAATTTCAACATTAACTACAAGATGGACAGATCCCATTTTACCTAACAGCAAAAACCTCTAACTTTCCGAGAACTGCACCCACAGGCCCCAAGTGGAAGAGTGAAATTGAAATCAAGGAGAATAACTCCTCACTAGCAAAGGCAATGAATTTGACCCTGGAGGTTCCCGAGCGGGGTCCCCGACGCCGCCCCCGCCCTCTCACCAAGTGTAGATCTGCAGCTCGCTGGATGGTACGTTCCCGCGGGAGAACTCGTCCATTCGGTGGTGGCGGCCGTTATTGGTGGTGAAGACCCGGAGCAGCAACGGGCAGGTCTGGTGGAGACAGGAAAACAGCAGAAGGTGAAGGCGGCGGCTGCGAGCCAGGCGCTCTCTTCCTTTTCCGAGGCGTTGCGGCCTCGGAGCCGCTCGGGGACCCAAAATACCGTCTCCTCCCGCGCACAGGCCGCGCCCCTCCGTCCTCCTGGGCCCACCCCAACATCTTCCTGGACCCCATGGTACCGGGGCCCTCACCTTCTCGCGGTCGATCGGCTTCTCCGGCTCCTTCTTAATTTCCTCCTGGGTGACGCGCGATTCTACCGCCATCTTCCTCCTATGGCCCGCGAGGCGCTCTCCCTGACCTCCGACCCCTGCAGCGAGCATGAGCACGAAGTCTCTCGCGAGGAGAAGCTAGAGGCGCTATAGAAAGCCAGGGGCAGGGCGGGGCCTTTCCCAGCGCAGGCGCGCTTCGTAGTGTGGCGCCTGAGTCCGGGCCGGGGGCGCGTGCGCGTTGCGTCCTCGGGGGAAAAGGCGGGAGCTGGCGTCCACGGGGCGGAGCCTCTGAGGGGAGGAAGAGCCTGTGGCGCGTCGTCGCCCGGCCGTGGGCTGGCGAGGTGTTTTTAGACTTTCAGTGTTCACAGGCGAAATAGCTTAAAGTGGGGTTTCCTCACGTAATGTTGAAAACCTTCTTGAACACAAAACACTTAAGAACATTAGTGGTAAGCAAAAAACATTCCTTTATTAGCAAAATGTCAATCTTTTCCTTCTGACGAAGGAAGAGCAGACCCGCGTGTTCGCACCCCGAGGAGGGTCGGAGGCGGCGGCGAGAGGGCGGACGCGCCCCGCCAGCCGAAGGCGAGGACACCGGCCGTGGTGGCGGGAATGCGCCGGTCTGTTGCCACGCGACACAGTTCGGGTGGGTTCAAGAGGTAAATGTGAACTGCTAACCGTGAACTTTTAGAAAATAACGTACTTGAACATCTTCACGGCCTGTGGGTGGGAATATAAGATGAAAAAAACACTACTCTGAAACGATTGAAACATTTGATTAGATTAAACCTGAAAAAAAAAGACAATCTAGCCTTCAAAATACATCCGAGAGAGAGAAAAATACAAGCCACAGAGTGGGAGAAGAGAGTTGTGACCCATATGATTGACAAAAGCTAGGATCCAGAATATATAGGAACTGAAAAAGACAGGCAACACAATCGAAAAATGGGTAAATTAACTGAGCAGGCGTTTTATTTATTTTTGTTGTGCTTTTTTCCCCCTTCTTTTCACAGGTGTTTAAATGAAGAAATCCAGGTGGCCAATAAACATAAGGTGGTCAAGCTCATTACTAATCAGAGATGCATTAAAACCACAGTAATTGGTTTTAATTGATTGGTTTTCAACTACACCCACTAGATTGGCAAAAATTAGAAATTCTGACAGTAGCAACTGTTGGTAGACTAATGGGAATTCTCATATTACTGCTGATGAGAGTGTAAACTGGCACACCCACTTTGGAAAGCAGTTTGGGATTGTTAGTACAGCTGAAGATATGTATACTTTGGATCTAACAGTTCCACTCCCTGGCGTATATACCCTAGAGAAAATCTTGCTCAAGAGTATCCAGAGACATTACAAGAATGTTCTTGGCAATGTCTATCGTTCATAAGAACATAAAACTGGAAACAGCCCAAGTGCCCATCTACAATACAATAGTTCAATGAATTGTGGTATACTATACAGCAACAACAGTGAAATACTGTAAAAGCAACAAAAATTTATGAACTACAGCCACATGAAACAACATGAATCTCACATGGTATAAGAAGCCAAAGACAAAAAGCCTATACAGGCGTGAAGCAACGCGGCCGCCTCGACCTAAATACTCTTAAAGGCAGACCATTATGTCCCTATACCATGCTGTATGTTGCTATTTTAAAAAATCCCGACAAACAGGCCGGGCGCCGGTGGCTTCACGCCTGTAATCTAGGCTCTTGGCCGAGGCCCGAGGCGGGTCGGACCTGCTCGGAGGTCAGGCGTTCGAAACCAGCTGAGCAACGAGCGAACCCGTCTCTCACTAATAAATAGAAAGAACATTAATGCCAACTAAAAAACAATACCTATACAACCCACAACCAACTTAAGCCGGCATCCCCGGTGCGCATGCTGGTAGTCCCAGCTACTTGGGAGGGCTGAGGCAGGAGGGGATCCGGCCTTGAGCCAGGAGTTGACGGTTGCTGTGCGCGACGGTGCCCCATGCACTCACTCTGGCCTGGGCAACACACAGCGCACGCACTCTGTCTCAACAACACAACAACCCACACAGTAGACAAACAGTCAATAGAAAGGACAATAAACAAGCCCCATGGACAAACATTTTTATCAGAAGATACAACGCCCAATAAGTGCTAAACTATGACAAACTGCCAATTTCTTGAATAGTTATAAAAATGCAAATTTAAACACAGATGACTTTTCACCCTGCCACATTGGCCAAAATGTAAAAGTCTGACAACAGGTGCTCCGGCAGCGATATGCGATATATATCTTTTTTTCTCCTTGGCTGACAGCAGTCTTGTTCTACTTTCCCAGCGTTGCCGGGTTGCCGTTAAGCTATCCGGTGTCAGCCGTTACTCACAGCAAGCCACTCACCTCCTGGTTCAAGCGATCTTCCTGCCTCAGTCTCCTGAGCAGCTGGGATACAGGGGTGCACCACCACGCTCAGCTAATTTTTTCTATTTTTGGTAGAGACGGGGTCTCACTCTTGCTCAGGCTGGTCTCAGCCTCCTCACCTGAAACAATTCTCAAACCTCAGCCTCCCAGAGTGCTAGAAAAGGGAATTCTTACAGACTGCTCTCATTCACTTTGGGAAACGAAGAAACCTGTGAAGATTGTCTGTGTGCACACCTTAAGACTCAGCTGTTCTATTCCTTGTATATACTCCAGAAAAACTGTGGAACATAAGCACAAAGTGACATTTTGAATAATGTTCTAACATCTTTATTTGTAGTAGACTCAATCCAATGGTCTACCAAGAGAATAGTCATAAAACGGAATACCATAAAGATTTAACAGTAAATGAATCAATATACTTCCTTAAAAGGTAGAAGAAATAAGCCACAGAAGAATTCATACAATAGGATTCAATGTATGCAATGCTCAAAAAATAGGAAAACTCCCCAAAAACATTGTTTAAGGAAACAAATATGAATGGTAAAACCTAAGAGAAGCAAAAGGGATGATTAACACTAAATTCAAGATAGTGTTAGTCCCTGAGGGTAAGCTCAGGTGATGCAATTTACAAAGGGCATCCTGGGCTTCTGAGATAGCTATGGTACTGTTTCTCACCAGGAGGGGTGTGGTTTTTTATTTAAATTGCAGCTATACATTTTAGATACTTTTTGTATGTGTGATTTAGGTTATTATTTGTTTGTTTGGGGATTTTTTTTCCCTTTTTGAGACCAGGGAATCGCTCTGTTGGCCAGCTACAGTGCAATGGCATCATCATGGCTCACTGCAGCCTCCAGGGCTCAAGCGATCTCCTTCCTCAGCCTTGGAGGGGTTGGGACTGCAGGCATCCACCACCACGCCCAGCTAATTGTATTTTTTGTAGAGATGGGTCTTTCTATGTTGCTCAGGTTGTTCTCGAACTCTGGACCTTAAGCAAATCTCCTACCTTGGCTTCCAAAAGTGCTAGGATTACAGGTGTGAGCCACCGTGCCCAGCTAGATTATTATTTAAAATTTTTAAAATTTTTTTTTTTAGTTTCTACAGACAGCATTGTTAAAAATATTTATTTTTAAGATTGTGCTTAGGATGGCTCCTGGTATGCAGGCAATGTTCCATTTTTTTTTTAAAAAAATGGTATTTAAATTTTCTCCCTGTTCTGTGATTCTAGTATTAAATCTTTTTCAAAACCTCCATAGTATAAAAATGCAGACACATGAGGGCACTCTAATCAATCAGCTAAAGGGAAAACATTGAAACTATGACAATGAAGACCCTTCCAACCTTTTATAGGTGATGCTGGGGAGGTTTAGCCAGCTTTCTTCAAAATGAAATTTCGGAACAACTTGGGGTAGTAGAACTGCAGCTATATTTTAGATTAATTAGTGTAGTCTTTTAGCAACCCTCATTCCATCGTGTAGGACCAGGTCTGAACTGGTCCAGAAATTATAATATTTAAATATATGCATACTTTTTCTTTAGAATTTGTAGACTAATATTGCACTTCTAGGTATATACCCAAAAGAATTGAAAGCAGGGACTCAAACAGATACTTCTATACCAGTGTTCATAGCAGCATTATTCACAATAGCCAAAAGATAGAAACAATCCAAATGTTCATAAACAGATGAAAAGATATACATACAATGGAATAATAGTCTTAAAAAGGAAACATTCTGATACGTGTTACAACATAGATGATGAACCTTAAAAACACTGTGGTAAGTGAAATAAGCTAGACACAACAGGACAAATATTGTATGATTTCACTTATATGAGCCACATAGAATAGGCAAATTCATAGAGAAAGAAAATAGGGGTTGGTTCTACATTTTGTTGGGATGAGTGCTGCCAGAGTCTCACCCCACGGGTGAAGCATTCAGTCTCCGTAGACCTCCGAGGGAATGAGAGTTGAGGCCTACTAAAGGCTGGGGTGGATAGGGCTGGAAGAGTGGAAGGAGGAAACACCTTAGGTCCCAAAGGGAGGGGGCCTAGCCGGAAGGGGCGGTGGGAGTGGGGGGCAGGAAACAGGAAATATCTCCCTTTATTAGAGGCTAAAGATTTGGGGAGGCACTAGCAGTCAGAGAGCTGCGAAGGAAGAGGGATTGAGGAAGGAAATAGGGAGAGGGTGGAGAAATGAAAGAGCTCAGGCAAGGGATCTTCATAACTTGTGTTTTGTGGGGCTAATGAAGCTGTCTTCTCAGGCCTTTCCACTCAAGATAGAGATGGCAAGACTCTCCCCGTTTCAGGTTTAAAATATTTCTAGGAAGATGTGAAAATGTTCATGCACATTTGGCCCAGTTTTCTAGCCTGGATGATTTTTGCAATGTGCTATCAAGAGTTCATCTTAACTGTACTTGCCAGAGTAAAGCCAGAATGGTATTTAGTCCTGGCATGTGGTGAGGTCTAAGAGGGTGAGAGCTAGCAGCTCATTTTGATGTCAAGTACCGGTGTTCTCCTCCCCAGTCTTCCCCTAAAACACTCCCTCCCAGCTTATCAATTTAAATAGCAAACCATCCCTTAAGGAAACCAATTAAATATTTACTGCTGTACCAGGTGTTGGGTATTCAAAGATGAATAAATGTGGTGCCTATGTTTTGTATCTTTGTCCTAGCTCCTAGTGGAGTGTCATGAAAACTGCAGGTAACCAGTAAACGTAAATCTGCTTCCTTCATACAATGGTTAAATGCTTTGAGAATATAG